CAATTTAATTTTCAATATTACAATTTTTCTTTAATAACACTTATAACTAATCATAAAAGGTAACATTTAACTTTCAACATCCAACTACATCTTTTACATTAAACTACAATCTACACAATATTCAAAAAGCGTTTTGCGATATGTTGTTTACTATCGCTGTATAAAGCTCTCTCGATCGCGTATCAATTCGTCAATAGTTCGAAGTTCTGTCTAGGTGCGGATATTCACTAACCATAAGAGTTGTCTCCCCCAACGTCTCTGCGACCTTCTATACGGCCTTGAAGTATAAGTTGCAATACTTCGTAATTGGATGCACGTATTATGTGTCCCAAGTATGCTACTTTCCTTTTTTCATGGCATTTAGCAATTCTCTTTCTTGCTGCATTCTTCTGAGCACTTCTTCATTGGTAATTCTTCAAGTCCAAGGACGGCGATAATACCACATTTCGAAAGCCTCCAATTTATTCATTGCGGTTGTTTTAAGAGTCCACGTTTCTACTCCATAAAGTAAGACAGACCATACGTAAGATTTCATATATCTCAGTCTAAGCAGTAAATTAAATTCTGGATTGTTTAATATTTTTATATCTGGGTCTTCAAGGTACTTAAATTTTGAAACACGCACAATATTCTGATTATCAATTACAATTTTCACAGTGGGGTCATAGATTTGCTTCCTACTGACTACCATAAACTTTGTCTTTTTTATGTTTATATTTAAGTCATAAATTTTGCTTGTTTCACTTGAAGCTGTTATGAGCTATTGTAAGTCATGAATATTGTTCGCTATTATCGTGGTATTCTCAGCGTACCTTTTATTGTTAATGTAGTGGCCGTTTATTATGATACATTTGTCGTTATAGTTTTGAAAAGCATCGTCAAATACTCTTTCTGCATATGGGTCATTCTTTTACAAAATTTTTTCTCGAGATACGGGTATTCTTATTTTATGAAAGGAGTTCATAAAAAAAATGTCAGCGAAATCGGAGATCATGAGGTCAAAACGGTGTCCGATTTGTAAAAGAATGACCCATATACAGTGTTTTGCATAACAAAAGCAACCAAAATGAGCACATTAAATAAATAAGTTTTTTGTCTAGTTTTTACTTTTCATTTAAAAACTGAAATACATAGTTTTATTTATTATTTTATTAGCTATCATAAAAATACAACAAAATCTATATTTATTCATAGCGGGTTCAATAATTCACAACCCTAACGAAATATTGCGAAATGCAGCTGTGCAAAACAATAGCAACTTTGTTTATTATTTGAGGGCGGTTTGATATGTCAGTAACTTTTTGAATTTCCCGCGCAGTTACTCCAAATGCAACAGTGTTGCCGTTAGCTGTAATCTACCAGTGGGCAACTTTCTAATTTTGATCAAGCTTCGTCGTTCAGTTGATGTTTGATAGCCGTTCAAAGCGGACAACCTCGTGAATTTTTACGAAAATGGAAAAAAGTGAATTTCGTTTGCTGAATAAGCATTACTGGCCAAAATCCACGAATTGGGATACGAACTGCTACCCCATCCAGCATATTCTCCAGATTTAGCCCCTTGCGACTATTTTCTGTTTCCAAACCTAAAGAAATGGCTGGGCGGTAAGAGAATTGAGTCGAATGAAGAAGTCATTACCAAAACAAACGCGTATTTTGAGACCTTTTAGAAAACCTATTATTTGGAGGGAATAAGAAAATTAGAAAAACGCTGGACTAAATGTAGCGAGCTAAGAGATGATTATGTAGAAAAACATAATGTTTATTTGCAAAAAAAATTTGTTTTATTCAAAAAATCACTGACTTATCAAGCCACCCTCGTATTAAATTTTAGTGTTATTTTTTAATATATTGTATAATGGCCTTTGGTTTTTACTATTTGAGCACACCCAGCTGTTGGTGATATAAAATTGTCAATAAAACTATTTGAAATTTTATGCCATTCATTTTTTAGGGCCTTAAACAATTGGGCAATTTTCGATCCCCAACACTACATTTGATAAATATTCTCAATTGAATTAAAATCGGGAGATTGGGCCGGCCAATCTAAAACTGGAATTCTATTGTTCTAAATTTATATCTTTACCAGCTTTAAGGTGTATTTTGAGTTGTTATCTTGCTGATAAACTCATCGAAGAGGGATGTCTCATCCGTCATGAGGGACCATTTGGTCTGTTATTACGTCACCGAAACATAAATTTAGTGAAATACAAAAACACTGCTAAAAAATATATTCTTATAAATTTCCCCTCTTAGAATAATCCCTAGTTATACTACTTCTTAGCTGTATTTGGAAAATAAGATGATTAGTAATAATATTATATTAATATTATGATGTAATAGTTTAACATATATCCTATGTTAACATAGGCAAAACACTTTCCAATTATTTTAAGAAATTTGATTTCATTAAAGTAGTAGCGCAAACTTATGATTCTAATCAAAGGAACTTTGATTAATGTATCCGTAATAATTCTATGCAAAGCATGTTAATGTAAATGCTTTGAACTATAAATTTTGTAAAATATAATTACCACTCATTACAGTATATAATAGTATATAATTATAGTGAAAAGTATTGTAAAAACTTATCTTATAAATACTAGATGTTTCTCAGCAGGCGAAAAAGTCGATGCAATCAGCGATGATAATGACTATCTATGCCACTACCATACCAAGTAAATTTATTTTTGTGCATTGTATGTCATAGGAAAACCATCGAAGCTTTATTGATACCTAGAAATACTTAAAAGCATCATTGCAGTGATGTTTTTTGATGTAAAAGAAGAAAAGGGGAATCAATCAACAAAGACTCAAAAAATTCAAGTAAAAATCATTTATGTGAAGAATATATATATATATATTATTATATATTATTACAGATACTTTTTCTTTATCGGTCCCTACTTCTCATTTTTGAAATTAAATCATCTATAAGTATTTATTGAAGTAATTTGAAATAGTTATTTTATATTATTTCGTAAAAAAATGTTTTCTCAAAATTATATGAACTATCAAGGCGTATCAAGACCAATGCCTTTTAAGATGATTTATTCTTTTACACCTTTAAGCAATTAATAATCTGATATATATTTAATTCCATTAATATAACGTTAAATATTTATTGTTATACTTTTACTAATAAAAAAATGCAACTTTTCTGAAAAAATTGTAATGTTTCTTTTAATTCAAACCCTGCAAATTATTTATTTATTCACATCATGCTTTTTTTCGTAGATAAAAATGTCACACAAAAAGGCTGAATGATGCTGCTTTGAAAAGAAGCAAATCCACAACGTTCCGTGATCCTTAAAATTTTATTTAACTTTTATTGTTGTTATTGCTGTTATTGTTGTCATCTCCGTAAATCTTAATCACTTAATGGAATTTTTAATATAAATAATTGTGCCCCAAAAAATGATTCATATGCTCAGAGCAGCGGATATTATAAAGTTTATTTATATAAGGAAATTTTTGAGAAATGAAAAATTTATTTCAACAAACCAAGACCAAAAATGTGTATTTTATTTCATTTCATTGTATATATATATATATATTGTAAGTGTAACTAAATTTTATATTTATTAAAATGCACTTCAATCAGTTTTTTATTAAAAAAAGTTTTTTGAGTATATTTTAAATCTACGTAAAATAAATTATTCTAAGGTAGACGGATTCGAATAGCAAAGAAAAGATAAAGACAAAAATTTTAGTTAATTTATTGAAATTTGGCTAACCATAAAATGGTGTTTCTTAATATACTTAAGAAATATTCGAATTTTTAAATTAGTTTATAGTCGGTATATTATTTTTTGGACTGCAAGCGATGACTAATCCAAATAGTTTCTTTTCGTCATCACTTTCGGCAAAAAAAAATTAACATAAATTATTCTATTCTAAAATTTTACATAAAACTTGACGAATGGCTGTAAGTTAGTTAAAGTTTGAGCATATATAATTTTTATTATATATTATTGTTCATTCATTATGGTTTAAGTGTAATAAGTCACTTTGTACTTGTTACTTGTCGTCCTTATCAGGTGACATCCTATTTAGATGTCACTTTATTTTGCTAATAATAAGAATCTATATGTTGATAAGGTGACAAATTTTTGGTACAAATAATACTCCACAAATACTGGTTAGTTTTTAAGTTATTTTTATTAATACATTCTTCTAAGTGTATATAATTTATTATTTTCTATTAAAGTAAGCATATAAAAAAAAATATTTACTGTCTATTAACTGCGAGGTTTCTTCAAAACCCCTCTTTGCGCCTTGACTGGATTATTGTTTATCACTTCATCAGACTAAGCAATAATTGACCTCAGATCTGCATACCTACCCGAGGAGCCTGTAACCATTTTGAGATTTGATAACGCGGTGTTAGTAAGTCTGTCAGATTTCGCAATTAATTTCAGGACTCTATCCTTTATGTATTTTTTGATGGGAATCAAAAATCTTGAGGTCCCTGAGGATGTCATTCGTCCTAATGTACCAAGGAACTTTGAAAAGTCTTCTCAGAGCCTGGCTTTGTGCAATTTCTAACTAGTGAATAGTAGTATGTGAAGCTTTGCTAAACGCTACACAACCACATAGAAGTGACAGACGAATTATTAAACATCATTAACACTTATAAGTTTGAACCAATGTAGATACAGCACATTGTAAAAGCAGTATTTGATCTATAAGTTAATATTTTATAATTATATTTGGATGCCATGCTCTTTTTTAGACATGTGTTCAGATGTCCAGGTAGTGTTAGTTGTGAAATCTTTTTTAAATACTGAAATATTAAGAAACAATAAAGCTAAACAATTTATTTTTCCAAGTCTAATAAATATTTTTGGATAATCTAGTAAAAATTGTAACTGACAGTGTCTTACCATAATGAACTTTATAGTTTTAGTTAGACTAATATACCGAAAATAATAATCAAATAACAAATGTTTAGTATAACTGTTATTTATTCTATAATTTTGATTTAAAAAAAGAATCCTTATACAGTATAAAAAATAGTTATTTTCGACTACAAATTTTTACTATTTCTCTGGAGGTCTGTGACATTTCATATTTTCACTATCATCACTAGAATCTTTTTGTGATAAAATATTAAAAACGGACTCCTCACGTTCCGAAAATCTCAACGTTTTCCTACCATCTCGCAGTGTTAATCTTCCAAATAAATTATCTTCCTCCATATCATCATCACAACTCTCTTCTTTTCTTATTCGTTCTTTTTCTTTAACTTCATGACTCCATTTAATGGAATCTTCAAAAAATTTCAGTTTGAAATCTAAAATATTATCGATGAAGTATTTTTGAAAGTTGCCATCAAAGCTCTTCTTGCCAAACGCATAAAAAATTGTACCAAAATTCTCAAAAGTGTATGTAACCATTGCAGGATAGTAAAGCGGTACTAACATCGATAAATGTATTTGAAATGAAACAGTTACCGTAGCCAAGGGGTTCGGACAAGCCTGTGTTGGCTTCGAAAATATTACATCCACAAAAAACGTAGTGCCCAAACCTTCAACGTCCTTAAATCCTGCGTGCGTTATCACTGCAAATTTCGTGCCAGGTGTTAAAACCCATGAATTTACAAATGCATGTATATTATGAACTGATTTTAGATAAGAAAAGCGTTGTATAGTAACCCAATGTAATGATCCAACAGGATCTGCTTCCTCCCTGCTTGATCCCGATGTGTATGAAGATGAGGTATCTAATTCTAACTCTGGACACTTGTAGATAAAATATCCTGGTCTATCTCTCGACAATTTATCTACGGCTGAAGATATCAGATTTGTGACGAAATCCGCAGCAATTTCGTACACGTCACAGAATTCCAAGGAATTGAAACTCATTTTTTCAAAAATATATTTCTTAAATATATTTCAAAAATATATTTCTTAAATAAATAATATAATAAAACAAAAGCGAATAAAATGATGTTCACTAAATGCGGAACATCAGTTAAACGAAAAACATCAAAAAAAAATTTTATTTTATTTTTCATAATCAAAAATAATTTAGTTTTAATTTTTATATATAAGCTATCTATGATTTACTATTTTTATCGAGTTTATTGTTTTCACTCGAAGTCTGTAATGTTTCGTAGTATAAGAAATTCGTTCTAAAAAATATATTTATCAATTTATTATAATGAATAATTCATTTGAAGCAGGCTTTTCGGTAATAAAATAATACACATATATATATATATATATATATATATATATGCTGTCACATAATTATGGAGCAATAAATTCCTACATTCTATAAAATTTAGTTAATTTAGTTCATCCTGAACTAACGTACACTCATATCTAAATAATACATCGTTACAGTTTTTTTTGCTTTCCCGTTATTGGTTCTTAAACATTGAGATAAAAAAAACAACATTAAAGTGTGTAAAATTTCCGGAATACAAAAAGTTAAGATATAATTCAGTTGAAATTAATTGTTTTTGGTTTGAGTACATAATAACAATTTTAAAGGATAAAAAAAAATTTTTTTTAAACCCATAAAACAGTACTTATATTGGAATTATCTACTCCACCATTGATCTTATGCTATGTTTAGACTATTGTACTTGACTCGACATATATGTATGTTATACAGTAATATATCCCATTTATTATACAAAATATGAAATAAATGGATTTAAAATTATAATAATGAAATTAGATAGTGTAAACATATAGTATTTCTGCATTTATTCAAAATTTATAATCTTATGATTATAATTATTATTTATTATTATTATTGTTTATTTTACAATGCATAGCCGTCACGCTATACAATTCTTTTTCTTCATATTATATATAATATGTACATATGTACTGTACATATGTTTAAATAAATTAGCGCCCATCAGGCAGTTATATTTCTAGATGAAAGCGAGCGATAATTAAATAGATTATACGGACAAGCGATTTTATTAATTTCTTGATTTAAAAGTCCGACTTAAATAAAATTACTACATAAAATTTGATTTCACCAGATTATAATATAGAGATCTGGATAAATACTAGATGGACAGATAAACATCGGTACATTTAATGATTCGTGATACTCTTATTAAAAATAGTATAATGTGTATAAAGGTAAATATATTATTCACAATATTGTTAAAGGTACAATTACTAAATTATATTAATAGTAATTCTAAAGTTGTAAGAGTATAGCAAAGAACAAAAAAAAAGAAATATTGACAGTGTAAGAAATTGATTATTAAAAATAAAATTTGAAAAAAAAATGTGTTTCCGCCCGGGATCGAACCGGGGGCCTTCCGCGTGTTAGGCGGATGTGATAACCACTACACCACGGAAACCACTTGCTTTACGGTAGTTTAATATTGTATTTCTATGTATAGAATACATTTTTTAAAATAAAAAATGAATATGTAAATTTGCTATCTCACAAAGCCTATATAAAATGTGTAATTATAAATACATTCGTATAGAAATTTTTTTTGCTATTAATAATAAATTAAATTAAATTATTGAAATTTAATAAGTTAAAAATCATCATACTCCCATTATTTATCAACAAAATGATTGTAATAAAATAAATCTGGGGAATTCAAATTTTTTTGTAAATATGTTTTACGCAATAAAAAAGATGACCACGGAATTGGTGTATATAAATTCTAAACATTTTAGCAATATACATATAATATCTTACTAACCTTTACATTCGATATACTCCGTTACTACGTGATTGTTAGATTTGTAGTTATACATATATGCGCCTTATGCTTCTCCTAGGAGTTAAAGGATTCAATATATATATATATATGTATGTATAGTTATGAGTATATAACATACAATTTTAATATATAGTAAAAATGTGGATTTGGATTGGCAACTATAGTTTTTTGAGCATAGGTGATGTGAACTTTTTGATAAAATAACGGTATCTGCCGAAATAGCTCAGTTGGGAGAGCGTTAGACTGAAGATCTAAAGGTCCCCGGTTCAATCCCGGGTTTCGGCATACGATTTCTTTTTTATTTTTTTTTTTGTTTTGCAATTTATATTTCAGAAGTAATTTGTTTTGAATTAAAATGCTTAAAATACATTTTTACATAAAATTTTTTATTTTAAAAACCTTTATGTAATTTAATTTTTATTTATAATATTACAGTGTACACTCGAAAGCACAAATTATTGACTTTCGTCAACAAATTCTTAAATGTGAACAAAAATGTTGAATGTTTCGTAAAAAGCATTGTATATGTATAAAGAATTTTCTAATTAATTATGTTATAATTGATTTGAGTTATTGAATGAAAAAAAAAGATAGAGGTGTCCTTGGGCATTAGTGGACCAACATACCTTCAATTTTACATATCCATTTATCTGTCGGAAAAATTTGTTCCAGTAAGATTCCCCATAATTTGATAATCGCTCAAAAAAAAAAGTATTGTTGATTGGTGCAAGGAAATACTGATAAAATACGACCGAAGTAGCTCAAAACACGTCTACGAAATCGTGACAGGTAATGAATCTTGAAATTTACGCCTACGAGATTGAAACAAAACAGCAGTATATTGTTTGAGGCTTTCAAAGTGAGCAGAACCCTACAACAGTTGTCCGAGAACAAAACAAATTCAAGCCAATGGTCGCATGGTTTTTTCAGAAAAGCCAGTCATGTGACGCAAGTGTACCACCTGAAGAACGTAGAATTGTCAATTTGGAGTGGTTCACAACCAATTGTTCGCCGAATATCTTCGGAAAATCCTCCACAACAACGTGAGCTCCCACACATCAGCTCGAACAAAAGAGTTTTAAGCACTCAAAATGTCGAATTGTAGGGTCACCCGCCTTACAGTTCCAACTTGACACCCAATAACTTCTTCTTGTTCGCAAGAAGAACTTCAGAGTGACAAAACTGTTTCAAAAATTGATTCAATCGAATGCAAAAATGTATTAATGACTATGCAAAATAAATAATTATAAAAACTATAAAACATTTTAATTAAAAAAATTTTGATTAAAAATTGTTATTTTGAATTCATTTTTTTATATTATAAAAAAATAAGAAAATGAATACATATTTATAAACATAAACATTAAGTTTTTTTTTGAAATTAAAAATATTTTGAAACACAGGTATGATTTTTTTAAATAGGGTAAAGAAAATTTTTGTACCGCGACATTTCATCAAATTTTCAAATCGTTCGTCTCTAAAATAGCATTAATATTCAATTCAAATATGATATTTAAAAATTTACAAATATATTTGCATTTAGAATTAATAAATCCATTGTTATTATCCATTTGCCTCAGTGCAGAACATTTTTTAACTATAATTACATCACAATTAAATTAATTTTGAAGGTATTAATTAATGCATTTTTATATTAAAGTTTATGTATTCATCCATATAGTTCTTAAATTCTATTAAAGACTTACACAAATTCCTTAGTTTTAGTTTGAAACACGGTTGCCACTTATGCTACTTTAGTACCAAAATTGGTACTTTTTTTTTTTATTTTTTTCGTTTGGTACTCATGTTCAAAAAATGGTACATTTTTGACGACCCAACTTTATTGTGGATATTTCCAATTAATTTTTTTATAAATGCAAATTTGCACTATTTTATATTTTGTTCATTTATAACACTATGAAAAACACAGAACGAGAAAACAAGAAGGTCCAAAAAAATTTTGGACCTTTTTTTACAGAAATGGTACCTTTTTAAACCAATTTTGGTACAGAAAAAAATTTTCAAGTGGCAACCGTGGTTTGAAATACATTCTATATTAATATGATTGGCTTTCATGTCTCACGTGAAGTTTATATAAAAAAAATTAGCTTATACTAAACGAGAATTGTAATTTCTATCGAAGTTGGAACTACATGTAGCAATTTTTGAACGGTCTTAGTTACGGCATCATATTGACATTCCTAAGACATTCCATATTGACATGAAAACGACACTCAAGAGATTGTTGACTTGATGTTTATATTATGCAAAATATACATTTGTGATTTATTTTTTTAATAATTTTATGACAATGTAAATGCATTTCAACAGGAAGTTTTTGTAAAACTATTTTATATGCGAGTTCGAGTAAATTGAGGTGAAGTAAATTGAAATTTACTATGGATTTTTTGCACTGCACTTATGTTATACAAATTTTATTTTATATATTGCACTTATTTATTACTTTTGGTTTAAACTTTTCAAATTTATTTATTTATTTATTTAACATCTTATAAAATTTGCACAATGGTAACCCCTAATTTACCTAATTTTTATTTGATTTTCCCTAATCGAAAGTCTGGTAAATACCAACATTCACTACCATAATTTATTAGTTCCTTCAATTTACCATCAAATTACTCGGCCATAACATTTTTCACTTTTTTCCTTTTAATAAGTTTTCTTATTATTAAATTTTTAGTATTATTTTTATGTTCATTATTACTTTTTATTATTATTATTACTTTTTATTATTATTATTACTTTTTATTATTATTATTACTTTTTATTATTATTTTTTCATTAGTATTACTTTTTATTATTAATACTTTTTTTATTATTATTACTTTTTATTATTATTATTTTTAATTATTTTTTAATTTTATTATTATTATTTTTAATTATTTTTTAATTTTATTATTATTATTTTTAATTATTTTTTAATTTTATTATTATTATTTGGGATTATTATTTATTATTATTTGGGATTATTATTTATTATTATTTGGGATTATTATTTATTATTATTTGGGAATATTATTTATTATTATTTGGGATTTTTATTTATTATTATTTGGGATTATTATTTATTATTATTTGGTATTATTATTTATTATTATTTGGGATTATTATTTATTATTATTTGGGATTATTATCTATTATTATTTGGCATTATTATTTATTATTATTTGGGATTATTATTTATTATTATTTGGGATTATTATTTATTATTATTTGGGATTAATATTTATTATTATTTGGAATTATTATTT